ACCAATATCCTCCATGAGTGTAGACACACAGCATTACAGACCAATATCCTCCATGAGTGTAGACACACAGCACTTACAACATATTAGCAAACAGAACTTGGCAGCATATAAGAGAAGTTGTACACCATGACCAAGTATGATTTACTTTAGGGGTGCAAGGCTAGTTCAATATTTGAAAATCAATCAGTGTAGTCTACCATATTACCTGGCTAAAGAAGAAAAAATCGCAGGATCATGTCAATCAATGGAGAAAATACATCTGAAAAATATAACACCCATTCACGATAAAACCAACCAACCAACCAACCAACCAACAGGGAATAGAGGGGAACTAGTATGCCGAAAAGTACCAAATACTGGTGAAAAATATTAAAGAAGATCTGAATAAATGGAGAGACATACCATGTTTATGGACTGGAAAACTCAGTATAAAAATGATGTCGATTCTCCTAAAAGTTATATAGAGGTGTAATGCAATGCCTACTAAAATTCCAGCAAGATGTTTTACAGGTATTGTCAAGATTATGAAAAATTTATGTAGACAGGCAAAGGAATTAGAAAAGCCAAAACAAACTTGAAAAAAAGTGGGAGGAATCATTCTACCCAATTTTAAGACTTACTATGGCTCCCTTAGTCAAGACTGTGTGGTGCTCGCAGAAGGACAGACACATAGACGAATGGAAGAAAAGAAAGAATCTGGAAACAGCCTCACAGAAGTAGGGCCAACCGATTTTTAACAAAGGTGCAAAAGCAATTCAATGGAGGAATGACAGACTTTTCAACAAATGATGCCAACGGAATATCTTTAAGGAAGAAAATAACGCTTTACTCTACACCCTCACACCCTAAACAAAAGTTAGTTCAAAACCGATCACAGACTTAAGTATAAAATGTAAAAATGTAAAACTTTTAGAAGAAAACGTAGGAAAAAGATGCTTTGGAGCCAGGGCTTGGCGAAGACCAGAGTCCATGATTTTGGTAACACCAAAAGCATGATCTGTAAAAGAAACAAGTGGCAAACTGGACTTCATGGAAAGTAAAACCTTCTGCTTTATGAGAAAGCCTGTTATGACAGTGGGAAGACAAGCTCTAGATGGGAAGAACATGTCTGCAAATAGCACATCGAACAAAGACCAGTTCCTGGGAAAGTAAAGAATTACCAAAACTCTATAGTTAAAAAAAGCTCATTTAGAAAATGCACAAAAGACACGAAGAGACATTTAACCAAAGAGGAATGTACACATGGCAAATAAGCCCAGGAGAAGGTGTTCCACACCACCAAGCACCAGGGAAATAGAAATTGAGACCATGATGAGCTATCATTACACGCCTGTCACAACGGCTAGGATAAAACATAGCAACAACACTAAATGTTGGCAAGGGTGTAGGAAAACCACGTCTTTCATACATTGCTGGTGGGAAAACAGACATTCTAGAAAAAATCTGAGTCTCTTAAATGGAACATATACTCACTGTATGATTAAGCCATGAAATGAAAACTCATGTCCATACAAAAATCTACACACGTGTTCACAGCAGTTTCATGTATAATAGCCAAGACCCAGAATCAACCAAAATGTCACTTAACAGGTGACTGGAACAGTCTAGAAAACCATACCATGGCCGTCTACACCATGGAATAATACTCAGCAACAAAAAGGAACAAGGTATTGATAGTGCAACAACCTGGATGGGTCTTTTTTTTTTTTTTTTGGGTTTTATGGAATGGATGGGTCTTAAAGGTTATTACTCTGTGGAGTTTTGTATAATTCCATTTATTCAATGTTGCCAAGATGATATGATTATAGGGGCGCCTGGGTGGCTCAGTTGTTAAGCGTCTGCCTTCGGCTCAGGTCATGATCCCAGGGTCCTGGGGTCGAGCCCCGCATCGGGCTCCGCTTCGGGCTCCCTGCTCGACGGAGAGCCTGCTTCTCCCTCTCCCACTCCCCCTGCTTGTGTTCCCTCTCTCGCTGTGTCTCTCTCTGTCAAATACATAAATCTTTAAAAAAAAAATGACATGATTATAGAGATGCAGAACAGATTGGTGGTTACAGGGGTCAGTGGTGGTGGGAAGTGAGGTGGGGTGGGTGTGACTAGAAGCAGGTAGCATGACCAAGGTTTTGTATCTTGATTCCAACGATGGTTACAGAAACCTGCACATGTGATAAAATGACACAGAATTATACGTGCACTAAGCCAATGCCAATGTCCTGATTTTGATGTTCTACAGTTACCTAAGATATTATCACTGGGGCAGCTCGTGAAGGGTGCACAAGCCTTCTCTGTACTCTTTTTGCAACATCCTGTGAATCTCTATTATTTCAAAATGAAAAGTTAAGAAAAAAAAAAGCAAAGAAAAACCACACAGACAGGGAGAAGATATATGCAATGCCGACAACTGACAAGAATTAATACACAGAAAATATAAATGGCTCTGAGAAGAGAACACACAACCTGTGTACTTAGAATATGAACAGATGAATGGATAACAAATATATAAAAAGATGCTTAATGTTTTAATGTAACGATTTAATCATTTTATTACAAATTAAAACAGAATGAAGTAGCATTCACAGCCCTATAGACTGGCAAAATTCAGAAAGTCACATGACACCAAACGTTGGGGATTTTATGGAGCAACAGAAACTCTTATATCGTCCTGGCAGGAGTGCACATGTAACATAACTATTTTGGAGAGCAATATGGGTATCTTAAAGTTTGAGCTAACCCTAAAAGTAGTCAATTTCCCCGCAGGCCTAAGTGTGTACCCAAGATGGTAGGCACAAAAATATTCACTGCGGTATCGTGTTTAATATCATAAAAATGATAACATCATAAATGTTCTTCAAAAGAATAGACAAGTAATTTTAGTATAAACTAGTTAAATTTACTGAGCGCTTACCACGTGCCAGACACTATGCTAGGTGCCATGACATAACACTGAACTAAACAGATGAAGATCCCTATCTTCATGGAGCTTACACTGTAGCAGATGAAGACAGACACTAAATAAGCCCTT